ATCGATAAAGTTTAACTGAAACAAACAAGGTGAGAAACCATTGGGCAGAGCCTTTAGTCTTAAGTTTTGCTAGAAATACTCAAAAATCAAAGTTAAATATACAAAAAAGAAATAAATTTTAATAGTATAAACCATATTTACTTTGAGCAGATACCTATAATTGTTAGAACTCAGTATAATTACACAGAGTTGGAATTTATAATGATACTTTAAAGAGAGAGAAATGGTTCTGTTATATACTGGTAACAATCTAACCTTTAGCTTTTAATTTGTCAAGGATTAGTGAGTCACCAGGGATAGGATTCATGGAAGAAAGATCCTTCTTTAAGTCTTCTAACATCAGCTTTCCAGTCTCAAAGCTACTGTTCATAGTACTTACTAGAACTCCAACAGGACCAGTCTTCACCCAACCTGAACAGTAAAGTCCTGCATGGAAAAATTTTATTGGTCAGAATTATTTCCATCTCTTACTGATTTTTGCTATCTACCTATACAGTGATAAATGCCATCATACAATTAACCAACTTAAAGGTAATCTACAATATCAAGAATTACCTCCCTAAGAAATACTGAGGGCTCGTTTATTATAATTCCGTACTTTGGTTATTGTTTTTTTCTTCATAGTAGCTACATGAATTGAGTTTTGTGGTCACTTTGGAAAACAAAATCAAATATTCTTTAAATTACTCTGCAAGCTGACATTCATAAATTAGCACATTTGACACATTTTATAAATTTTAAGAGGAAGTTTTTACGTATAAATTGTTGTTGATCTATTTATTTCTAGTTCAGATATATATGTTTTTTAAATTTATTTTTGGATAATTAAGTCTCTGTAAGCGTGTTAAAAATAATTAGGATGCCATTTACATGTTCCTGAAATTTTTAAACTATTTTTTAAAATCAATCATATCTAAGAAAAAAAGATAAATAAATTTAAGGTTAGATATATAAACACATGATAAAACCTGTAGATAAGTATTCCAAGTCAAGGCTGTTCTTAAATAATATCTTGATAAGTCCTTATGCCATATTTTACTGAAAAAAATAAATTATTCTTGCACGGTTGTTATTTTTTATGAAAAAATATTGTAATTTTTAAGTTCAACAACACAAAATAATCTGATTTAATAGGTTCTTCGAAGCATTGGCTATAAAAGTGTTTGCATTGATTCTGACCTTCCATTTGATAAGAAAAGAGGAGTAATACCCAATCAAAGTGGAAGGGTTCTAGGAAAAAAAGGTAGGTTATTCAAACCTGAGCTTGTGTTTCCTAACATCACTGATGTGTAGTATCAGCTTAGAAATGACCTACAACAGCTCACAGATGTAATATTAAAAATGTTTTCCGATCAGTAACCAGGCATTTTCACTTTAACAAGAAATTTCCCTACTTCTTAACATCAGGGCAAATGTTCGGTACTCTAAGATATATTCAACATTTATAAAAGAGTTTCTTTTCTACAGTATTCATCACCAGATTTGTGTAATATGAAGCACAAGTTTGAAATATTGGCCAATAATTTCATTAGCAAGTTTGATTTTCTCTGCCTTACTAGTCTTTACTTCTTATTACCTCTTTGAAGAGTTTGTAGTATCATTCAGTATTAAATTTGACAAAATGTGTAAAACAACAACAACAGTTTAAATAGTTTGATTTGTATTTATGGCAAGGTTACTAAGACTATCTGCCACTGTCCATAATTTTAAATTACCAGTCAGGAAGAAGGCTGCCAGCTAGCAGCACCCTATCCATATGTGGTAAGGGATGAACGTCACTCTTATTAAAGAGCAGGGGAATATTTTGTAGTATCTCATAGATTCAAACCTAGCTCACCAACCCCAAAATCCAGAGCTCAACCACAAGATAAATCCACAATTTTACTAACCTTTTCATTTATGTTCATTTTAATTTGATATCTTTACAATTTTGCATTCTTTTGAAAGAATTTGTTTTGGTAGTTTCAACCTGAATGGCCAGGTCTAAGACCACTAAGATTCAAGTACAGCTACCAACATTTTAGGCTACTGACCAGAGGGAAGGCATCCAGTTCAACAACACCCATACCCATAAGGTCTGTGATTCAAGTACAGCTACCAACATTTTAGGCTACTGACCAGAGGGAAGGCATCCAGTTCAACAACATCCATACCCATAAGGTCTGTCTTTGAATTGATATTATTAATGAAATTGTCTATTACTTTTATACTGCATCCACAAATGTTCAGTGGTACGACAGTGCAAAAACCTGTTAACCCTATCGCCATGGGTATCCTTTACTGCACGTGACACAATGTTTTAGTGTATTACATTCAAAACTTTATTAAACTACTTTTTGTTTATGTTATACCAATTAGAATAGCAAAGTTTTAAGTTCTTAATTCTACAACACAATATTTAAAAAATCCTGAATTTCCACTAGTGTGACCCATTTCCTCTTAGTGTGTCATCATCCCTATTTTATCCATCTCCCCTCGAAAAGTATGAAATTAAATGTAAATTACTCTCTATAAAATCGTTATTGCTCAGACAAACCGTAGTTTTTATAGTCTTCAATTTTGTTTGGTTACAAAGCTATCAAAGAGAAAGTCAGCCCCCTCCTGCCACACCCACCTGTCACATCCTCTCTTTCAGAATTCGTTGATAGTTCTCTCTTATGTCTCATTATATATTTCCTATAACCAATGGAAAGTCAAGGTTTTCATCTATCAAATGATATATTGTATAACGTTATGTGGTTATGAGGTCGGTCGAATTGACTGATCTTGTTTTGAGATAGGGTAGAGAAAATAACAGATAAACTATAAAGTTTTACTGAAAAAAAAAACGTTTTAAATGCATTTAGGAGGTTTTAGGGTTTGAGATTTTTGAGATGAGGAAAAGTACTTTTAATTTTGAAATGAAAATTACTTTGCACAAGGACTATTTAAAACAAATGCTCAATATATTCATGGACAAATCTTTTTATTGTATTAAAAATACTTCACTAAAAAATATGATTTTTTGTATGTGAAAGACTTGTAATGTTAACTGAAAGACTTCCAAATCTTGAAAGTTAGAAGTACTAAATCTATAAAGACTTTAAACGAGTACAGAGGTCACGTGGTTAGTCAAACTGACCAAGCTTGTGTTGAGAGAGTTAAGCTCTTCATAATTTAAGTTTTATTTATTACCCCATGGACTATTTTTGTTCTTTTTCTTCATTTTGTTTTCTGCTTCATTAAGAGGTGATTGTCCACAAACAGTGGTTTTCAATGTGAGAGTTCACATGTTGCGTTTTTAAATTCTCATTTCACATGTAAGGTTTGCAACTACCAGTTAAATCTGATACAATTTATCCCCATCGCAATGTGGGGCTTTTATTCCAAAAATATACATTCTCACAATAAAGCTTGTAGCCCGGTTTATTTGTCTTCTCTCTCTATGTGTGGCACCTTGTTTTTTGGCTTAACTATTTGAAATGTGATTATTTATTAATGATAGGAAGTTGTTGTTGTGCTGGACACAGTTTTCTTTGTTAAATCAAAATAATTCTTCTTTCGTATAAATCTTTACAATTACATATATGTATTAGTTTCTAACAAGTTCATGCTGAATTTCTTGCAAGGGCACATGTTACACAAGATTATAATGAACTACAAATTCCACACTAACTTGTCAAAAACCTGTATATAATTCCTACAGTCAAAGGACAATTTCCTTCCTGTAAATCTAAATGTTCCACTTTTTGTTAAAAAGTGTTTAGAGAGATGGTTTTACGAATAATTGTTATAAGTTTCAAATATTTAAAAATACATGACATAAAAAGCAGTTTTTTTGTAAGAAACATTTAGTTTACCAACATAAAAAAACGTTTGATTCATTTTAGGTTACCAGTAACATGAAGATGACCCACTGCTATGAGTTGAAATGTTATTTTTTGTTACTGTAACAGTATCCTGAAGATGACTTGTTACTATTGGTTAAAACGTTTATTTTTTTATGTCAGTAAAACAAATTTTTCTGACTACAAAGTTTTTAATATCATTTAAGTATATGGTAGGATCACCAATCAACATTAATTTAGAAGTGAATCTTTTGGAACACAGAATTTACTCGTAACAAAACATAATACTACAGCTAAGCCTTACCAAGCCACATTCTACATTCTCTGTTTCATCAGTCAGTACAGCTTTAACATTCTCTCCAGTATGCTACAGGGAAGAACAAACATATTACAAATAGAAATTATTTTATGGTAGTCATCAATAGAAACATGTCTGATCAAGTGATAAGTTCAAGTTAATTAATTCACACAATAATAATAGCTCTAACAAACCATGCAAAAAAATGTAATAAATTACCCTTCAACATTATGCATATATAAATGTATTGTAAAATTACTTTCATAAGATGTTTGTATTAATACAGGATCTCTTCCTTAACCAGAGGCTCCTTGGCGGCAGGGATTGGACATAAAAAAAATCCAGGTGAAATTTTGGTGAAACTTAAATAGGATGTAGTATACTTTACAATATACACTTTACAATTTCCGAATCAAAGATATTTTGATTGAGTAAACACCAGCAGAAACCCCATAGTTAATGACAGTATTTCTTGTTGGGTTTCTGACAGGTCTACTACATGAGCCGAGTTCTTTTCATATTGTTACACCTGTTTTTCAGAAAAAAAAAAAAGAGTCCAATAGATCGACAGCACATAGTCTGATGCTCCACTGACCATGACTGGAACTTTGCTACTCAATCATCATTATTCCCTTGTTTACCCATATGTGCAAGGTTCCAATGGTATATACAACACCTCCAAGTGACAATTACTTTAATTTTTATTTCCTTGCCCTGCCACCCAAAAAACACTACTTTGCCTCTGGTTGAGGAAGAGATCCTGTGTTAATACTATAACATTTTTCTAATCTTCATGCAGATGTTTCTACAGAAATAAAATTATTTATGCATACTAATTTTGTCAGTAGTATTTTAATGCACTATTCTTTTCAATTACACAAATATAAAAAAAATTCATAATATTAATGCTTATTAAATTTAGAATTACTGATGGTGGTCCACATGGACCACACTGGATTTTTAAGTGTATTTTTCTGAACTATTTATGCACCAAGTTGCTTGTGGGTTCATGAATTTCTTGGTACAAGATCCTTGATTAAATCTTTTCGACTTACTTGTATGTTAAGAAAAATATTGTTAATATTACCATTACTTTTGCCAAATACTGCTGGAATTTCCTATATATCTTATATAGAAAATGCTACATTGCACCCACAAAAAAACAACAGATATATTACTCAATATGATAAGTGTGTTGACACCAATAGTAGTGAATGGTATATATATTTTGTATTTTGGAAATATTATTTTTCTATCAAGAAAATTTTATTGGTATTAACTGTATACAAAAAATGACTATAATGAAACATTTGTTCACACACATAGTGAGAATAAACAGAATAGTAACACTTATGATGCAGTCATATGCCAAATAACAAATACAGAGGTGCAACATTTATGCATTCAGTCATATGCTATAAAACAAGAAGTCTAAATTACAAATTTTAAAATGTACAAAACTACGGCTACACGAACATTTCTATATATTTTACAATGTATTACCTAATTTGTTTTCAAAAACAACAAAATTCAGAAAGCTTAAAAAATGCTGGTTTTAGGGTCGAGTATGATTTAGCATCCATTACATAAGACTAAGTTCAAGAATCTACCGTTTTAAGAAATACCTCTAACATGTTAATTCCAAGGACCACTTTTCCTACACTGTTGTTATCACTACCCGGAAGGATTTCAAGAGGACTTCTGCAAAACTTGAGCATCCATTCTTTGGTAGCTTCCTTTCGCTGGACAATCTCATCGTCAGTTGGTTGTACCAATGCAGTTTTAATCATTAGTTCTGTTAAACGTTTTCGAGGCCGAGGAAAAGCTGCAAAAGAATTGGAAGAAAAACCGTACTTGATACAGATATCAAAAATATAAGCTAGACACATGATAATCTTGTAAATCTAATAATATTCAGTATCACATAATTAAAAACCACGTGTTTCTGGTTCTGACTTTAATAAATGCATAGTTTCTAGCAGATTAAATAATGTCTGTCAAAGTGGCACTGGCAATGTTCACTATGTAATTTGTGTTTTGAGACAAAGATTATATTTGAAATTTATTTCCTGAAGTAGTGGAAAAAAAAATCATGAATATTATCAGAGATATAATAATAATAATATTTTCTACACAACACCAGCAACTAGAAATAACCTTAAATTTTTTTATAAGTTGTAAGGTCTGCTCCCTATTAAATTAAACAGAATATTAAATTTTTTATTTCTGACTACTGTATTTTGTGGGAAAAAAGCTACAGTTGCATTTGAAAGATTTTTATTGAACAAAAATTCAATTTCATACTTTAAAAATTAGTATATATTGTTCTAAACACAAAAGAGCTCAAAACATCAAAATAACAAAATACTGTAAATCAAAAAAAGGTTTACTATTATTTAGTTTGGTTCAAAACCTACAAAATCTTCATTGCTTTCACTGTAATTAATTTTTTTATTATTTAGGAAGC